GTAACAAACAATTACTGTTCAGGTCCGAGGGCAAATAAACACTGTTAAGAACGCGTGTCTATTCAAAATTGCAGGTTTTGACTCAACGATCTACTTGAGAACACATATCTCCACGAAAAATTGTGTTTACAATGATGCCTACTTCTCTGAACTGAACGCTTACCGTTACAATAATTAATGGCTCTTTGGCTTGACACAAGGCGCCACGAGCAAGAGAGATCGGGATCTTTGCTGAGAATCCCCCCTGCTGGAGAGTCCTCATGAAATATCCTTCGAAAGGAATTCTCAAAGGGAATTGTTAGGAAAAGATCAATCATTAATCATCCTGGACAAGGAGTCCTCACTGAAGAATGCGGACAGGAACCCCATAATAGATAACATCTTATTGGGGAGTCATTGCCGAATGGCTCTTCAGGACGGATTATTACCGAAGACTTTCCCTGAGGAACACGTCCTAAGGATTCCTTCTCCAAGGAATCCTTACTACCTGAGCCCCACCAGGCTGAATGACACAAAGCCCCCCATAAGGGTGCCTGCCGCACGAGCAGGCTCCACCATTAACCACAAGCACTTGTTTTCATGTCTGAGGGCCAGCAAACATGGGAAACCATACGTTGTTCGTGTTGTTCAGGTTCTCGTGAATGTGTCAATCTAAGCGCACATATCTACACGAAAAGGCAAGGAAACATGACAGCCACATGTTTGACTTTGGTTCCTGGCTCTCGGACATGAGAAACAGAACCTGTACAGTGGTTGCACACCTTTGACTTGACACGAGGCACCACGAGCAAGAGAGATCAGAGTCCTTGCTAAGGGATCCTTGCTGGAGAGACCTCCTTGATACCAAGACTTCCTAGGAATTCTTACTGAAGAACCTTGAATAAGGATCCCTTCCTGAAGCATCATAAACAAAATAATCATCACTGTCGAATCCGCTCTGCAGAAAAAAGCGGGCACTCACTGCTGCGGGCATTTCCCCTCCCCCAATCGCCCACCCCAAGGCTCCTCCTTCTCCACCCCCCCTCCATATATACAACAACTACGTTATGAAAATCCTGAAAGGCTATGAAGACAGGAAACAGGTATCCACATTCAAGACACATTATGGAACAGGATGCGACAATACCAATATGACCTTCAAAATGCTATGAGGTTGCATCTAGACAGAAATATTTGGTATAGCCATATACGAGACCTATGTTGCTTCACATCAGCAATTTGGCCCCTGCTGACTTTTTTTTTTCAAAATAATAGATTGGGATGAAACGCTGCCGCTGGATATATCGAGCACAGTTGATCACAACACAAACGCTCCTGCGATCCCGGCCAAAATGGCAAGAAATGGTAAGCTCAGATCCGCATGGCTACATTGCAACCGAACCGCTTGACCACCATCTCGACCGAACTGGCGGAATTCGACCACGCGTCCGACAAAATACGTTCGACGAGGGATGCGCTGCACAATGCCCCGGCCACGGGCAGCGCTACGAGGGAAAGCGGGCCCTTCGATGTGTCACTTTCAGCGCCCGTGAAAGTGACACCTCCCAGGGCCCACTTAAAGAGCACCAGAAAGGCTCCAAGAAGGCCCCGAGAAGGCCCCAGGGCGGCACCAAGAGGGCTCCCAGAGGGACCCAAGAGAGGCCCCAAGAAGGGCCCAAGAGGGCCCTCCGCGGTGTCACTTTCAACGCCCGTGAAAATGACACCTCCCAGGGCCCACTTAGGGCCTCAGAAAAGCTCTAAGAAGGCCCCGAAAGGGCCATAGAGAGCCGCCCTGGGTTCAACTCCGCGTGGCGGAGTTGGAAGCGATAACTTCAATACCCTACTGGAGGCCTCTTAGGGGCCCTAAGACGGCACTGAAGAACCCCATCGGGGCTTTTTCAAAGGCAGAGGAGGGCGCAAAAAGGGGCCTCAGTGAGCCCCTGGTCTAACTCCACCTGGCGGAATTGGAAGCGATATCGCCCGGCGCCTTCATGGAGCCGCTCGGAGCTTCCAAGACGGCTCCAGAAGGCCCCAGGAGGGCCCCAAGAGGATCGAACGACGATTCCTGGAAGTGCACCAGTGAGACCCTTGTTGACCTCCGCCTGGCGGAGTTGGAAGCGACAATTTCCAGTGCCCTCTTGGGGCCTCTGGGGGGCCCCTCAGAAAGCTTTGGGGAGCACAGTGAAGGCCTTCGCAGGGCCGCGTGAGAGCCGTACCAGGGCCGCATGTGTGCGCGGATGGGGGCGACGAGTGCTGACGCTGACGAATATGAGAATGATGAGGGCGATCAAGGCTGGCCCGAAACAAATCCTGGCGCCATTGCAGGCCGCCGATTATCGGCCACGCCGCCAGGACGACGCCAAGCAACAAAACGACACCAACCAACAAACCGACACCAACCAACAAACCAACAAATCGACACCGGCCAACAAAAGGACACCAAGCAACAAAACGACACCAAGCAACAAAACGACACCAACCAACGAAACGACACCAACCAACAAAACGGCACGAATCAACAAAACGGCACTGACCAACCAAACGACAAATCACTTCACGACACCAATGAACAACGCGAAATCCACCGACCGCCAACCAAGCATAAAATCAACCGACACAACGAAACCAACCCATAGAGCCAGACCAACCACTGGATTCGTGAGTCGGGGTAGTCATGGAAGTGAGCCGCTGCAGCCCGCGGAAGCCATTAACAGTGACCAGAGCACCGCAATGCAGCAACGTCCCCGGGCGGCGGCGGGAGTCTTGGATCTCCCGCGGGACTGGAGCGTAGCGAGTTCGTCCTGGGTCCGGTTTAGTGAAGTGAAGAATTTCGGGGTGCTTGCATGGCAAAAACCTTCACTTCACTAATCTGGGGCCCCTGGAGCCCCAGGGCGTTTCAGGTCCCCTCGCTGTCTGGGTAGTCCAGGGGGCGCAGTGGCGGCTTACCAGAGGCCCTGTTCCCTAGCCTCACTTGCTTTCACCCGTGGTGCTCGACGGCCGTCTCGGAGCTGTCTTGTGGCGGTCTGGGGCAATCCCGAAGCCTCTTGGAGCCATCCCAAGGCCCCAAGGCGCCACCAATGGGGGCCCCAAGAGAGCTCCCAGAGGGCCCCGAAAGGCCTACAACAGATTGCACGTTCGCGCGAATTCTTTGTACCATTTTGGGGGGTCCCTCTTGGGGCCCTCGGGGAACGTTCTTGGGGCCCTCCGAGGGCCCACTGGGGCCCCGGGAAGGCCCCAAGAACGCTCCCAGAGGGCCCCAAGAATGCTCCAAGAGGGCCCCAAGAGGACCCCCACAAGTGACAAAAACTATTTGCATGAGGGTGCAACTTACTCGGCGCCTCTTGGGGCGCTCTTGGAGCCGTGCTGGGCGCCACTCGTGGACGACATGGGCTGGGCGACGGCATGTGGACCCTGTCGCTTGGGCCATCGGGGGTGCTCCCCAATGGGGCCACGAAGCTTGTGAGCGTATGACGGAATGGGCTGGGCGGCGGCCTGTGGGCCCTGCCTGTGGGGCCGTCGGTGTAGCTCCCCGTGGGGCCACGAAGCGTGTGAAACGTATGCCGAAATATGCTGGGCGGCGGCCTGGGAAACCTGCCGCTGGGACGTTTTTTTGGTGGAGCTGCCTATAGGGGCACGAAATGTTTGAGGGTGTCATCAATGTGGCCTGGGCGACGGCATGTGGACCTTGCCGCCGGGACCTCCGATGAGCTCCTCATGGGGACACGAAGCGTCTGAGGGGCGTGCCGACATGGGCTGGGCGGCGCACTAAGGACCCTGCCGATGGGGCCTTCGGTGGAGCACCTCACAAGGCCACGAGACTTGCGGGGGATGTGGCGAAGCAGAGACGCGGGGGAACAAGGGGGGTGTTTTGATGATGTTGATGAGGATGGTGGTGGTATTGATGATGGAGACGGCGAGAATGCTGATGATGCTGATGATGATGGTGATGGCGACGATGACGATGGACGATGACGACGGAGACACGCGGAGAGCAGGGGCAGATACGCGAAGAGGGAGGACGAGGGAGGGGGCCGGAAGGAATGACGCGGGGCGGTGTCTCTTCAAAACGAAGAACCAACACTGCAATATGGTAGGACATTTCTGGACGACCCCCCCCCGTGGCGCGGTCAATGTCCGCGACAGCATCGCTGGCACTACGAACGAAATGATCGAACTCTTCCTGCGACGTTACCCGCGGGGTGGATCAGCCAGGGATGGGGGTCGAAACCGCCCCAGCGCAAAGCAAATGTACAATCCTGAGAAACCCCAGCCCACATGAACCGATCCGCAACAAGCACGCAAGCCTTCGACGACCCCAACGCACGTGACATCGCATAACGCGACGCGCCATCGAAAACGTTCGACGCGCGGCCTCGGAATGACATCGGGCTTCATGGAACGTCGAATGGAAAACATGAAAAAAAACGCCCTGTGGGCTCCGAGACCCAAAATTACTGATGTGAAGGATTTCGGCTCGTCGACCATACATGAATTATAGAAGCTTGACATGATACCTTGTGTACATTGGTTGTTAATCATTCCTAGAACTTTTAGCTCCTCGTTTTTTTCCAAAACCACAACCAATGTGTCACCATATTCGTTTTCTGCAGTCCCCGGGAGACCCAACACGTTGACCAACCTCATTCAGTAGGGGCCCCATTACAAGAAACCTTCCACAAGAAACCCAACCCTGAGACCCCAACACGTCACGCCTGCCATGACAATAAACATCGAAACCGGAGAAACCCAGGGCACCTTGGCGGCGAGCAGGGTGTTTCTTGGCATGGACCTCCACTGTAACCCGTTAAATTCGACTGGCCAGGGCGCCCACGACGACGACGACGACGACTAGGGGCGACGGCGACGGGCGGGGCGGAGCTGGCGTCTGAGTCAACGTGGCGGCGGAGCGGCTCGTCGTCGTCGTCGTCCTCGGCGGCGGCGGCGGCGTCGGCGTCGGCGTCGGCGTCGGCGACGGCGTCGGCGGCGGCGGCGTCGGCGTCGGCAGCGTCGTGGGCGGGCGCCGTGTCGAGCAGCTCCGCCCGGTCCGCGTCCGGGTCCCGCAGCAGCGTGCGCGCCACGTGGCCAGCGGAGCCCAGCAGGCTCTGCGCCGCGGCGTCGACCTGCGCTGCCGACGCGCGCCGACGGCGACGGCCACGCCCCCAGACCCATTCGGGACACGAGGCCATCCTGGCGGGAGGCGGTCCGCCAGGGCGTTGAATTCACTTGCGCGGCATTCCTCCCACGTCCCGTCCTCCACCGCCTGTTCCAACACTGTTGGGCCGAAGGAGGAGGCCGCTCAGACGCGGAAGACTTCCTCGTCGAGGGGGTCGGTGCGGCCAGCCGTGGCAGCGGGGGCCGTGGCAGCAGCCGGGCCGCGGCGAGGGTGCACCCACGGGCGCTGCCAGGGCTGAAGCCGCGCAAACGAACGCTCTCGACGGTCCGCGCGGATTTCTTGGATGCGCGCCTCGCCATCGCTCGGACGTACATTCCCCGTGGATGTCTCGGCTTCGCGAGCGTATGTTTCGCGAGATGACCCAAGGTGCTCCTCGATGGTCCACGACGAGAGAACACATGCACACGTCCGAGCGATGCCAAGGCGCCACGCCCCCATCCCTGACGCGCGGAGCGCGCCAGGGGCGGCGCCGGCGGGGCCGCTGGGGGGGGGCCAGCGCCCTCCTCCTCCTCCTCCTCCTCCTCCGCCTCCGCCTCCTCCTCCTCCTCCTCCTCCTCCTCCTCGATGCATGAAATCCGAGCGACGCATCGAATGTTGATGTTGTGCCCTTGCTCTTCTGCGGTGCCAAAATGGCGACGGCCACGCCCACGGCAGGGACGAGAGGGGGGGGGCCAGAGGGCAGAGGGAGGAGCGGGAGGGGGCAGCCGAGGGAGCAGGAGGAGGAGGAGAAAGGAGGAGAAAAGAGGAGGAGGAGGAGGAGGAGCAGGAGGAGGAGGGGGAGGAGAAGGGGCAAAGGGGGGGGGAGCAACAGAGTTAGGGAGGGAGGGCGGCGGGCGAGGAGGGGCCCATGGTGTATGGAGGACAGGACAGGACAGGACAGGACAGGCGCCGATGTGCGCCCCAGGGGGAAGGGGGGGCGGTCCTCGAAGAGCTTGGCGGGGGCACATGGCTACTTTACGATCTCGAGTGTGTACTATTGGCTCCACTGATGCAGTCCTTCCCATGAGTTTGAGCATGCAGCGTCATAACACACAGGCTTGATCATGCAGCGTCATGCACGGTATCTTGAGGGATGGAGGGCGAGCCGAGGATGTGGGAGGAAAGGGGAGGAGGCAGGTGGGAGGGAGGACGCCAGGGCGCGGAGAAGGGGGGGGGGCACGGAAGCGGGGCGATGAGGAGAGAGGACTTCGCCGGCCCAGCGGGCCAGAGGCGTGTTGAAAAGAAAACATATCTGGCAACAGCTGGCTGTGCTATCTGGCTCGCGCACGCGCGCCGGCCCCTGGGGGGTCCCGGATGACAAGCGTACCCTGGCCGCAGCCCGGCCCCCCCGGAGCGCTCGAAGAGCGCCCCAAGGGACCTCCACGAGAGCCCGAGATGGTTCGAGCCCGCCCAGGAGCGCTGCAAGACACCAGAGAGAATCTCTGGATGGCCAGGAACGACTCCGATACGCCTCAAAAGAGCCCCAAGAGAGCTCCCAGGAACGAGGCTTGTGGCAAAGATTATGGATCTTAGATGTTGTTGTTGCGCTCTCGCCTTTCTCGTTACTGCGGCCCTCCAGGACGGCCCAGGAGGTCTTCAACATCTCCCCAAGACAGCACAAGACACTCCCAGGAACGCCTAAAGATGACTCAAGAGGCCTGCAATACAGCCCATGAGGCTCCAAAGCGCTCACGGGCCCCCCGCAGAGGGCTCGAAACGATCAGTCCGAACTGTCACTTGGAGCCCGTTCCCTCCGAGCTGGCCCTCGACGCCGCCAGCAAGCTCCCAAGGCGCTCCCACAAGGCTCCCCATCCCCCAGAGGCTCCCGAGGGGCTCCCCGAGGGGCCCCCAGAGGCGCCCAAGCCACCGCCGAGAGAGACAAGATGGGCGGGCGGAATGAGCGAAAAAATTGAATAAGAAAGGGGGAAAGAAGGGGCGAGGTATGCTGACACAGGGGAGGAAGGGTGGAGAAACAGAAGAAAGCAGGAGAGGGACGGGATAGGGAGAAATTCAGGGAGGGCAGCGGATGGATGACGGAGGAAACAAAAAAGACGAGGGATGAACGACGAATTATCCTGGCGAAGGACCCAACCATGTGCAGATGTGAGTACCGCAGGGCAGGCGGGACGATCCCGCGGAAATTCCGTATGGGGCTCGCGAACCGAGTGAGACGGGCGAGCCGCGTGATGGGTGTGCCGACATGGGGCGGGTGCCGCATGCGGGCTGTGGGGAGACGCACGCGATGACGGCCGCTGAGACCTTTTCGGTGGAGCTCCTCATGGTGGCCACGAAGCGTGCGATGGGCGCGCAATTGTTCGCCCTAGAACTGCTTCTGAAGGCCGCCGGGGCCCGAAGGCGGGCCCCACACACCCAAAACAGCGAGAATCCAAACACGCGTACACATCAGATGGGAAGAAACGACGAAGCCGAAAAAAGGACAGCGGAGAGGGATCTATAGGGAGAGGACAGACCAAGTTTCCATGGTTACTCTCCCGACGCCGGACAGGGAGCCTGTTCCAGGATGGCTCTCCAGTTGCAAGTTCCCTCCTCCGCCCTCCCCCGCCACAAACTCCTCCTCCTTCTCCTCCTCTCATCCTCCTCCTCCTCTCTCCTCCTCCTCCTCCTCCTCTCCTCCTCTCCTCCTCCTCATCCAGTGTACCGTGGAGCTCCCTATAGGACCATGGTCCTCGTGATGGGGTGTACCTACATGGGTTCGGAGCCACCATGCAACAGCTGCCACTGGAGCCTTATGTGGAGCTCCCTGTAGGACCACGTTCCTCGTGAGGTGTGTACCGAAATGGGTGCGGAGCCGCCATGCAACCCCTGCCACTGGATGTTTATGTGGAGCTCCCTACGGGACAACGATCCTCGTGAGGGGTGTACCGAAATGGGTGCGGCGCCGCCATGCAACCCCTTCCACTGAAGCCTTCTGTGAAGCTCCCTACAGGACCACGATCCTCGTGAAGGGTGCACCGGAATGGGTGCAAGAGAGGAGGAGGAGGAGGAGGAGGAGGAGGAGGAGGAGGAGGAGGAGGAGGAGGAGGAGGAGGAGGAGGAGGAGGAGGAAAGGGAGGAGGAGGAGGAGGAGGAGGAGGAGGGGGAAAGGGAGGAGGAGGAGGAGGAGGAGGAGGAGGAAATGGAGGAGGAGGAGGAGGAGAAGGAGGAGGAGCAGGAGGAGGGAGGGCCGAGGGGGAGGAGACAGGGCGAGGGCGGCGCCTGTAAGGTCACGGCCCGGCAGGCGCTGCAACCGCGCTCCGGCTTGAGGAGGCGCTGCTGCTCGACCTCGGCGCGGGGCCGGCGGCGCGGGGGCGGGTCGAGGGCGCGGAGGCCCTTCAACGGGAGGAGGAAGCTGCACACAGTGGAGACGCATCCCAAGAAGCACCCTGCTTGCCTCCAGGGTGCCCTGGGCTTCTTGGGTTTCATGGTTCTGCAATTGAAAATCGTAACGGCCCCACACCACAAATCAATGAACCTGCTGGGGTCTCAGGGTCGTGTTTCTTGTGGACTGCCCCCCACTATATATAAAGAAACAAAAAAAAAAACTTCCGGAGCTCCCCGCGGATATCTTGGCTCGGCGCTTGGCCCTGCTGTCCCTGGTGCGCCCCCAAGGGAGGCGGATCCAGCGCCGATCCAGACAAACAACGCACAGAGCTCCAGAAGTGCATGTTGAGACAAATTTGATTCACTGGCTGGAGTTTTGGGTGTAACGTCTTCTGCTGTACTTCGACTCGCGCTGGAACTTCCAAGTTTTCTCCAGCTCTGTGGAGGTACCCGTGGATTTGCCTCGACTTGGCTGACTCTACCTCGATTCTGTATTGTGTACCTCGATGTGCATCGAATGGACTGGCCTGATCCCCGCAGGTCAATTAGAGACAAGTCGACAAGCCTTGAGGGAAAGGGTGCGAGGAGCAGGAGGAAGAGAAGGATCAATGAACGAGGAGAATCAAGGATCGAGGACGGGAAATCGAGAATGAGAGGATGATCGGGGATGAGAGGAGGATCGAGGATGCTCAAAAAGATCAAGAAACGAAAACATGAAGATGCAACAGTCTCGGAAAGTTTGACCGCGAGGGCCCTGGAGCCAGGAACCAGGCCCTCCTTGGCCCCCAGAGCACCAAGAGTAGAGCTCTGAAAATCCCCCCCGAGAATACTCGACCCCGGCACGCGAAGCGTTTCGCAGACGCGCCCAAAGAGGGAATCAAACAGGGCAGAGCTGTTTAGTAAACACCCAAGGCCGTTTGGTAGACGCCAACTGTCTGGTCCGGGTAGTCTTCCCTCCCTCGAAAGATGTACGCAGAGGGCCAACGGTAAGCTCGAAGAAGGACCCGAGGAACGTGAAGCCCCTTCCAGTGCCAAGTAGGTCGATCTTATTCAACGGCGTTCCAGGTAGCTCGAAGCATGAGCTAATCGCGAGCGCCCAAAAAAAACACTACCACCAGAACTCCATAGAACTCGGCTCCCAAGAACCCTCCCCCCCCGAAGCAGTGGCACTCCGTTCTGGGCACGATCTGGGGGCGCGCCCGGGACGGGGTGGCACCGGCTCGGGGAGGGGGGGCGGCCAGTCACCCTAGCTGGTGGTGGTGGTTCTTTCTTGTCTGGTGAAGTCACGCCTTGGCAAGGAGGGCGATTCGGGGATAGGATGATCCTTGAGGACAGGTCAGGCGGTCTGCAGCACCGAGGCGCGACCTTCCACAAGAAACCCAACCCTGAGACCCCAGGACGTAAGTTAATCGATGCTTGGTGTGGGAACGTCACGCCTTTCCATCGCAAGACCATCGAAACCCAAGAAACCCAGAGCACCCTGAAGGCAAGCAAGGTGCTTCTTGGCACGGGTTTTTACTGTACGCTTAGGTCGGGCATGTCCTCTTACAGGTGGATTCTTGGCGAGAACTAAAACCATACACAAAATACTCAAAGATGCGCAAACATAACACAAACAAGTCCCCAGACTGATTTTTGTCTGACAAGTTTTGAGTATTCCTCCTGTAGAGGGACGTGCCCGACTGAACTGTGCACGATCCTGCGGGTGCGTCCCGCGCGGGGGGGGGGCACCCTGCGCACGGCCGCCCCGCATCAGTGGGGCCGCGGCCGCGGCAGGTGGCCAAGCGCAACTACCTCGAGGCCGTGGAGACGGGGACACGTCTTCCGCCGCCCACCGGCCGCACCTCTCGCACGGTGGGTTCGTGTCGTGACGACCCCGACGCTGGTGTCTGACACTGCGTGAATCGTTCGACTGAAGGGGCCCGGGGACACACAAATAAATACACACAAATAAAAGGATCCCCCATATTTTCATATATTTTCTGGGTTTCTGTCTCCCCCCCCAATTCCAATATTTCCCTATATATTCTGGGGGATCGACGATTAATTGTGTCTGTGTGTTTCTTTCCTTCCTGATCAACCTCGAACGATCGGCGACGTTTCGATTGCCCGATCGTTCCATAGAGGCAGTTCTGGGCGGGGCCGCCGCCAGTTCTGGCGGCGCTCAACCTTGAACGCTCGCGGCGGGGTCGCCGCCGGTCGACAGGAAGCGAACCTACCGAACGCTGCCAGGCCCGAGGGTTTCGGTTTCGCAGCTCAAAGGGCTGCGCGCGGGGAAACTCCGGGAAGGAGAAACAAAAAAGGGGGAAGGATCGGCAATCGAATCACGAACCCTGCCCCGGCAGGTTAGATTTCTGAAGAACCAGCTGGGGCTCAGGATCTGAAGGAGGTCTGCACCCAAGGACCCCCGGCGGGGGTGTCCGACACCCCCAGCGTCGACGTCGATTGGACCAGTGGGTGCGCAAAGGGTCGCGAAACCCAGACCTCCGACGTCATGATTTGTTCATGATGTCCGGAGGTCTCTGCTTATAAGATGTGTTGTTTTTCCAACTTCCCTTCAACCTTGCGGGACAACGTTAGGGGGGGGCCGGCTCTGTGGGGGGAAACGTCGAGCTGGAATCGGCGATACATCGCCGATAGATCGGCGCTGGGCCCCCGAGAGCAAATCCGCATGCTACTGAGCGGGGTGGGGCAATGTGGCTCCTTTCGGAAGCTGAGCGAGGGCTGGCAAATCCGTGGCTGCTAAAAAAGTCTTCCCGGAAGAGAAAAACAAATCCCCAGAATAAAACCCAGCGCGCTGAATAAAAGAAGGGCTGCTCCCCGAAGAAAACACATGTTCCCAGAGCTCCGCTTTAACAGCCACGGGATTGCCAGCCTTATCCTGGCTTCTGACCCTGATCGGCGACGAATGGGCGACTGAAGGTCGATGCCTCCCCCCCGTAGCCAATCCCTCCCTCCCCCAGGCGCCCCGAGAACGCTCTCGACCTAATTTGTTAGGTCGGGCATGTCCACCTACAGGCGGATGTTGGACGAAACATACTCAGACACAACAGCCCAAATACTCAAAAATACTCAAACCAAATCGTCCCCAGACTATTTGTTGACTCTTTTTGGGGTATCCCTCCTGCAGGGGGACGTGCCCGACATAAGCCTAATTGTGCGTTGCTGCTGGAAAACGCCCGAGGCCGGAGGACCGCCGCGAACCGACGGAAGCGCCCGGACAGACACCGAGCCCTCAAAACTCGCCATCGCTCGGAGGCCCGTGCCCCGTGCACTCTTCTCGCCACCCTGCCTGTATTGGGGAGCCCACAGAAGGACGTACGCGCCCAACTTATGTACATGAACGCGGCCCTTCGAGCCGCGACGCTGGCCGCGCGATACAAACATTCGGACAACGCGCGCTCTCGAAACCAGCGTGGACTCATGTACGTGTACGTCCCTGTTTCGCTCCTGGTGTATGTTTCGCCAGATGGTCCAGAAGGTTCCTCGGTGGCCCCCGCCCCCCGAGGATATCCCAGAAGTGCACACGCCCGAACGAGGGCAGGTCCACCCGAAAGCAGCGGACAGGACCCGCTCCAGGTCGGTCCACGGACCCCTCCCCGGCGCGGGCCCAGCCGCGCGACGAGAGACCCCCCCAGGAAGCCAACACACGTAATTGCGCAGAGGGCCAGGGAGGTGATGGGCCGATGTTCCACCACCACGACCACAGCTAGGAGAGGGGGGAGGGGGAGGAGGACGAGGAGGAGAAGGAGGAGGAGGAGGAGAAGGAGGAGGACCTCCCCATCCTCCCTTCTCCCCCGTCATATGGCAGTGGTGGTAGCAAATGGCCCGTCAGGGAGGGCCGCCCACGTCGGTGGTCCCCCCGCTCCTCCTCCGACTGCGGCGACGCCGGCGGCGAAGGCGGCGGCGACGGACGCCCCCTTCGGCTCGTGGAGGACTTAGCGACTTGTGTTGCCCCTCGGCTCGCACGCTGGAGCGTCCACGACTTGCCCTGGCTTCCCTCGGGACCTCCTCTGGACTTGCCTCGGCCTATAGAAGAGCCAAGAACGGCATCAACATATTTTATGTTGGCGTTCCGCACGGACTTCTTGGCTCCGCGCCGGACCCTCCCTCCATGGCGCACTCCGCGCGCCGCCGGGCCCCCCAGCGCGGATGCAAGAAATTCGCGCGGAGCGCCACAAGTTTATCTTTACGGCGTTGTTCTTCCTCAACAATGGGGAGGAGGCGGAGGGGGAGGAGGAGGATGGGGAGGAGGAGGGGGGGAGGGGGGGGGAGGGTGAGGAGGAGGAGGAGAAGGAGGAGGAGGGGGAGGAGGAGGAGAAGCGGAGGAGGAGGCGGAGGGGGAGGCGGAGGAGAAGGATGAGGAGAAGAAGAAGAAGAAGAAGAAGCACGCCGAGGCGGACCAGTCACGTGACTAACGACTCGGCCCAGCAGGGCGGCGCTCGGGCTCAGCCTAGCCCATTACCGCTTGCGCCACCTGCTGGGCCCTCCTGTGCCCGAGCCAGCTCTCGCTGTCGCACTCTCTCCTGAAGTGCCGCCAGCCGTGATTCGTACTGATACGAAGAGGCTGGGTTGGGCCGCGCGGAGACACTGGTCGTCTCTCTCCGAGGGGCGCGGCGTGTGGGCGCCACTCGGACGGCAGGAATCACAGAATCGATGGAACGCTGGAGCTTGCGATGAGGTCCGACGCCGCGCCTCAGGTTCCGAAGAATCTCAAGACCCTTGGGCGTCGGCCTGATGCAAGGTGACCTCAACTTGCTGCGGCGCCTCTGTTGGGCCCACGCTCCACATCTCGTACAAACAAAAACAGGTCGATCCACACTATCCGAGACCGACTCGCACCGTTCGCCAGACTGGTGCACAGCAACGAGACAGTGGCCGTTCGGCCGAGCGAAAAACGCACTGAGGAATGCTGGGGTTCCCCTGCAGCCCACTAAGGGCCAATCAACAGCATTGTCATG